CCAAGGTGCACAACCTCACACTTTCCCATGTATTCCATCTGCAACTTCTTTGCCCGCTTTCCCAGCCTGTCCAAGTCATTCCGCAGCCTCCCCACTTACTTAACACTGTCTGTCCCTCCATCTATCTTTGTGTCATCTGCAAACTTAGCAACAATGCCCTCAGCTCCTTCATCCAGATCAATAATGTATAATGTGAATAATTGTAGTCCCAATACAGACCCCTGCAACTAGTCACCGGCTGCCATCCTGAAAAAGACCCCTTTATTCCCACTCTCTACCTTCTGCCAGTCAGCCAATCCTTTATCAATGCCAGTACATTGCCCCTGCACCATGGACTCGTAATTAGCAGCCTCCTGTGCAGCACTGGAAAACCAAATTGATTACATCTACTGGCTCACTTTGTCTAACTTGCTCATTACCTCCTCAAAAATTTCTAACAGATTTGTCAGGCATGACCTCCCTTTGATGAAGCCATGCTGGCTGAGTCCAATTTTACCATGCACTTGCAAGTACTCCACAATCCCATCCTTAATAATGGACTTTAAAATCTTACCAATAACCGAGGTTAAGCTAACCGGCCTATACATTTCCATCTTCTGCCTCCCTACCTTTTAATTGTGGTTGTTAAATTAGACATTTTCCAGTCCTCTGGCACCTTCCCAGACTCCAATGATTCCTGAAAGATAGCCACAAATGTCTCCGTAATCTCTGCAGCTATCTACTTCAGAACTCTGGGGTGTTGTCCATCTGGTCTGAGTGATTTATCTATCTTCATATCTTTCAGCTTCCCCAACACCTTCTCCTTAGTTATGGCCAGCACACTCTCTTCTGCCTCCTGGCTCTCTTGAAGTTCTGATAAGCTACAGTTATCTTCCACCATAAAGACTGATGCAAACTTCCTATTTGGTTCCTCCCCATTTCTTTATTCCCTATTAAAATGTCTCCAGGCTCATTTTCCAACAGTCCAATGTTCATTCTCGCCTCTCTCTTACTGTTTTATATAACTAAAAAACACTCTTGTGATCTTCTGTTATACTATTAGCTACCTTACTCTAATATTTCATCTTTGCTCCCTTTATTGCTTTTTGAGCTATCTCCTGGTGATTTTTGAAGACTTCTCAATCCTTTGGCTTTCCACTAATCTTTGCCATATTGTATGCTTTTTCTTTTGCTTTTATGCTACTCCTGGCGTCTCTCGTCAGACACGATTGCCTTGCTCCCCCCAGCTTAGTATGTTTCTTTCTTCCTTGGAATAAATTTCTGCTGTGCCTCCCAAATTACCCCCAGAAACTCCAGCCGTTGCTGCTCAATCATCTTCCCTGCTGGGATCCCCTTCCAATCAACTCTGGCCAGTTCCTCCCTCATGTCTTTGTAGTTATCTTTACTCAATTGTAATAACGTTACATATGATTCCAGTTTCTTCCTCTCAAACTGCAGAGTGAATTCAATTATATTGTGATCACTGTTCCCTAGGGGGTCATAAGAACATAAGAACATAAGAACTAGGAGCAGGGGTAGGCCATCCAGCCCCTCGAGCCTGCCCCGCCATTCAATAAGATCATGGCTGATCTTTTTGAGACTCAGCTCCACTTACCCACCCACTCACCATAACCCTTAATTCCTTTACTGTTCAAAAATTTATCTAGCCTTGCCTTAAAAACATTCAGCAAGGTAGCTTCAACCGCTTCACTGGGTAGGGAATTCCACAGATTCTCAACTCTTTGGGTGAAGAAGTTCCTCCTGACCTCAGTCCTACATCTGCTTCCCTTTATTTTGAGTCTGTGCCCCCTTGTCCTAGTTTCAGCTGCTAGCGGAAACAACCTCCCTGCCTCCACCTTATCTATTCCCTTCATCATCATATATGTTTCTATAAGATGTCCCCTCATTCTTCTGAATTTCAATGAGTATAATCCCAGCCTACTCAGTCTGTCCTCATAATCCAACCCTCTCAACTCTGGAATCAACCGAGTGAATCTCCACTGTACCCGCTCCAGTGCTAGTATATCCCTTCTCAAGTAAGGAGACCAAAACTGCACACAGTGCTCCAGGTCCCTATACAGCTGCAGCATAGCCTCCCTGTTTTTAAACTCCATCCCTCTAGCAATGACAGACAAAATTCCATTTGCCTTTTTAATTACCTGCTGCACCTGCAATCCTACTTTTAGCGATTCATGCTCAAGGACACCCAAGTCCCTCTGCACAGCAGCGTGCTGCAATTTTTTACCAATTAAAACATAGTCCATTTTGCTGTTATTCCTACCAAAATGGATGACCTCACACTTATCAACATTGTACTCCATCTGCCAGACCTTTACCCACTCACTTAGACTATCTATATCCCTCTGCAGACTTTCAGTGTCTTCTGCACACTTTGCTCATCTTAGTGTCATCTGCAAATTTTGACACACCACACTTAGTCCCCAACTCGAAATCATCTATGTAAATTATAAACAATTGCAGTCCCAACACTGATCCCTGAGGCACACCACTAGCCACTGACCGCCAACCAGAAAAACACCCATTTACCCCTACTCTTTGTTTTGTACTAGTCAATCAATCCTCTATCCATGCCAATATATTACCTGTAATACCGTGCAACTTTATCTTATGTAGCAGCCTTTGGTGTGGCACCTTGTCAAATGCCTTCTGGAAATCCAGGTACACCACGTCCACAGGTTCCCCATTGTCCACCATGCAAGTAATGTCCACAAAGAATTCCACCAGGCATGACAGGGTCCCTTCACCTTAGGCTCAACAATCAAGTCTGCTTCATTACACATCTCCAAATCCGGAATTGTCTGTTCCCTAGTGGGCTATACCACAAACTGCTCCAACAAAACCAACTCGTAGTGATTCCACAAATTGCAGATCTTGGGGTCCACTACCAACCTGATTTCCCCAACCCGCCTGCATATTGAAGCCCCCCATGATTATTGTAGTGATGCCTTTCTTACATGCCTTTTCTATCTCCTGATTTATTTTTTGCCCCACATCCTAAGTGCTACTGGGGTTCTGTACATAACTCCCATCAGAGTTTTTTTATCCTTAGTGGTTCCTCAACTCTACCCATACAGATTCTATACCTTCCAACCCTATATTGCTTCTTGCTGTCAATTTAATTTCATTTCTTACTAACAAGGCAACCCTGCCCCCTCTGCTTGTCCTTTCGATAGGATGTGTATCGTTGGGTATTTAGTTCCCAGCCCTGATCCCCTTGCAGTCATGTCTCTGTGATGCTCACAACATCATACCTGCCAATTTCGATCTGTGCTACAGGCTCATTTACATTGTTTCATATACTGCATTTAAGTATAACACCCTCATTCCTGCATTGCTGTCCCTCTTCTCATAGTTGTCCCCTTATCTGCTGTGCCTGAAGTTAGATCCTTGACTTTTCCATACTCTCTTTCCTATTACTTGTTCCGAAAACTTTAATAACCTCTCCTGAGTGCCCCTCCACTCCCCAAACAAGTTTAAAGTTCTTGTGACCACCCTATTTGGCCTTTCCGCTAGGATCCTGATCCCTGTTTAGCTCAGCTCCTTCCTGTCCTAATACTGATGCCAGTGCCCACAAAATGGAAATCCTTTTTCCCACAGCACTCCTTTAACCACACATTTGTTTCTCGAATTTTCTTATCTCTATGCCGATTTGCACATGGCGCGGGTAATAATCCAGGGATTATAACCCTTGAGGTCCTATCTTTTAATTGCCACTCTAATTCCTGATATTCCCCAAACAGAAGCTCTTGCCAATGTTGTCATTCCAACATGGATCACAACAACTGGATCCTCCCTCTTCCACACCAATACCCTTTCAAGGCAATTCAATGTGTCCCTTACCTTGGCACCAGGCAGGCAACACACCATGAGGGACACACGATTCTGGTTATAAAGGATGCTATCTGTACCCGCAGTTAAAGAATCCCTTAGCTCTACCACTTTTCTTTTTGCTTTCACTGCTTGAATGACCTCCTGTACCACAATGCAATGGCCAGTTTGCCCATGCTCCCTTTTCCGCATCCATACAGGGAGTAAGACCCTCATACCTGTTGAACAAGGTCAAGAGCTGAGGTTCCTCCAGTGCTAAATTAAGGATTTCTTTACCTGCTTCACTTATAGTCACACCACTGGCCAAATTTGAAGTACTTAACCTATAGGGTACGGCTGCCTCCCGAAATACAGCATCCAGGTAACGCTCCCCCTCCCTGATGAGCCACGGTTCACAGCTCAAACTCTAGCTCATCAATTCTGAGCCAGAGTTCTTCAAGCAACCAACACTTGATGAAGATGTGGTCACTATGAACCATTTTAGATCATTAACTCTATCCCTATTTAATTTTTGTTTCTTTCATTTTTTTTGTACCGTTCCTTTTCTATTTCATTCATTTTGATTTTGTACAGCAGCTACACTACCATTCATACCTCATCTTGCCAGATCTTGATTCTTTACCAATCCCATTATCACCCCATTTAGATTTACAACAAGAAATCTTTTGTAATTTAACCTTTCATTCCACTATATCCCAGACCTTACCTTTAGTGCTTCTTCCCACCATTTCTCCTTGCATCAATTAAAACATATTGTATTTCAAACTTCTCCCAAGTCTGAAATATCAGTTCTGATCCGCTACACAGATTCTTCCTGACCTGTTCAGAACTTTCAGAATGTATTGTTTCTGTTTGAGATGCCCAGCATCCACAACATGTTTATTTTGCACAAATCTTCCAGTACAAATTTCAAAAACCTGCTGTACAAAGTAAAAAAAAGACAAATCCTAGCTACTTCCCATTATTGCCACTGTTTTCTTCTGTTCTGATTTGTTGTAATCCTCTATTATGATAATTATTCCGTGCATGAAATTTGCTTGTAGTGAATAGAAAAGTCGAGTACCATGCATGCTGGAAATCAGAAATAAAAACAGCAAATGCAGCAAATATTTAGCAGGTCTGACAGCAATTTATCCTCCTCGGAGTTGTAAAAATGTCCTAATCTCTCTGCTGTTTTAGTTTCTACACAGTAGAGAAAGGAGCCATCTGTTCTAATCCTGCCGCACGCTGGGTCGCAATGAAGATCAGAGAGCTGCAGTAAGTTGAAGTAACATCAAAAAAATGCTTGTCTTCTTGGCTAGATACTGACTCTCAATGCAATTCTCACTTTGTCTGCTGTGATTTGAATATTTGTAACCTGAATCCTCAGCACACTTCTGTGGAAAGTGCTATCAGATCACCAAATAGGATAAAAAAGTATAAGAAAAATTTTATGGCTTTTATTTAGGTCTGTCTAAGTATTAACATGGTTAAGAACATTGTTGTCACTGAGTGTCACATGCCAATAATGGACTGGATTTTTCTTCAGAGAACCCTTACTAAGATATAAAATTCAGGACCCTCGCCATTTGTTTTGCAATAGTAATGTTCATTTTCAGTTATTGTCAGTTTTATCCCCAGATGATTAAAAAAAACATTATTACAGGTACATTACATCTGATTCTTTAGCAGGCACATTAAGTGAAGCCAGCACAGCACAGCACAGCTAATAGTTAACCTGCTGAAATATGCAGTGCAGTAAATATATCACTTGAACTAGGAATACAGCAAAGCTAGTACACTTCAGTTAATTATGACATTGCTAAACTTTAAGATTATGCTGCATTAAAAGGTAGAATATAAGAAATATTAGTTAATAGAACCAAGTTTTGGTAAGAAAACTGAGTCAGTGTGTTAACTTTCCATTTTGTAGTATTGTGTTCTAACAAAAAGCAAGTTTTTTGCACATAAAGCAATCTTTTTCCTTAGATTTGTTAGTATCTGTCATAATTTTGAGGGGAATTTCTCACAATGTATTACAAATTATTAAAATGCATTCCTTTTCTCTCTGTGTTTCCTAACATTCCTGTCTTTAGTACATCCTTTCTTTCGCTATTTTGTTTATAATTATATATTTGTGGTTTCATTGACTTTTGTTCCTTCATTCTCCTCGCAAAACATCTTCCGCCTCTTCACATTTCCCGATGGTAGGACCAAGTCTCCTCATTGTGCCCGCTTTAGCTCATTCTATCCCAGAATCTCAAACTCTGGTCTTCACCTAAAATCTTGACATCACCTTAAAACAAATTTTTGATTTCTCCCATCTTTCCTTTCACTCCTTTCAAGTGTGTCAGCATGAGCCTTAACTTTTCTCCTCGATTTCTTAGTAAAAGTTTCTTCCGTCTTTCCCTCATTTATTCTCCATGTGTTAGTTTTCATGTTCATTTTTCACTCCATTATTGATAACTATCTCTCTTTCCGATTGTTCCAATATTGCAATCCTATGAAACATTTAAGTTCATAAACAGGATCGTGACAGTGGTTTGAGGTTAACTTCTCTAATTATCTTTTGTTTCTTTCAAGAAATGCAATGGAGACCGGCAGCGCCTAAAAGTGAGAAAGGATGAAGAGAGACCCCCAACATCTTTCACTTATGCAAATGTCTGTATTTTTGCTGCATTGCTTTACCCCAAATCACTTATATTTTTCAGAAATTCAAAGGATCTCAAATTTTCTTTTCATTATAATGACCAAGTAAAAATTGTGCGAAATGTTATAATTAATTGAACTTCTGAAACCCATGATTGTCAAGTAAAAAGGAATATCAAGATGTTTTATTGCCACCTTGTAAACTGAATTCTCAAGTCAGTCATAGTGCTTGACTATCAGACTACACAGGAATGAAACTGATTGCTTGTAGAATTTTCAGAATATATTATCTGTAATCCTATAACTTTTCAATGTTTTAAAATTTCTATGCTTTGGAATATGTTGTGGACAATGTTTCAAATCTTAAAGTAGGCACATTTGTATCTAGAATTATATAGAAGTAAATTTCTTCATGCTTGAAACGCAATACTATAGTACCAGAAGCATTATTAGATCTCAGATTCCAAAATAAAAGCTCTGCTCATATTTCCAAGTTGCATACGCAGACATACAGTCATTTATAAAGCAGTTAGTAAAATATGTTTGCACAGTATTGACATTCTATTCATAAAATGTCTTCAGCATGTTATATGAAATGTGATAATATGCAGCTATACTATATATGACAAGATCTCAATACTGATCCAATGCTTGTTTCATATTATTCATAAGATGAACATTTGTAAAGCTTATTAATCTTCAGTTTGTATGAATTATCTATTGGGCAAAGATATAAAAGAATATGAGGTTAAGGTTATAAATTAAGTTGAGGCACCATCAGCCACGATTTAATTGAATGGCGGAGTGGGCTTGAGGGATTGAATGTCTGCTCCCATTCTTTCATTTTGAGTATATCATCCATCAGATGCTTGCAAACACAAATGGATTTAGCAATGTTTATGAATGAATTCAATTTGGAAATTTAATGAAAAATTATTATAAAATCTTCGCTGTTAATGTAGGTTTTGCATGATGTGCAACTACATTAAAATAGTGTTAAGGCAGTGTCAGCATTATTATTTAGAATATCATGTAACTTTTGCAGGGTACATCATTAATACATCATGAATTTATCTTAGATACATTCTTAAGCATGTTAAGCACTTCATTTTATATTTTCCAAATTTAGACTTTGTTTTTACTTATTAATAAAGGATAATATACCCTACCTTACATGTCTTCCTTCAAACAAGCTTTGCTATGGTTGTCATGTTTCTACAAGGTATTATATTCCAATTCCCTTGGAGATAAAAGTACTCATAGCATTTCTGTTATTTCTGATTACAATGGTACTCATTTTGTTGTACATGATCCAACTGAAAGGAATTCTTCGGCTCGTTGTTTGTTGCTGCTTCATTCTGAAACTTTTCTGTAGGTAGTTTTTTTTGTCAGGCATGGTGGCTATTGCTTTTGAATCTCAGAGACAGAGAAAAGAGGCAGGTATCTAGCCTACTGGAGTAAGAATGGCATTAAACACGTATTGTTCATGTTATTCTAAACTAAATAGTAACCATCCAGTCATCTATGTGTTGCAAGTGTTATAGAAAATTGCTTTATCAACCAATAGCTACATGTGATAAAATTCTGGCCTATTAAGCTTTACTAGCTACAATCATAGCTCCAATATCAATCCAGTCAAAATGGTATCTCTGGAATCTATAGTTTTTTTTTAAAAAATGGGAGTTCATTTCTAGGTAAATCGGGTATAAAAAAATAACATAGATGCACTATTATTTAAGTTGGCTACTGAGTACATGACATAGGCTATTACCTAACAGTCCATAGAAGTAATGTTCTCAATTAAAAATATAGAAAACGTTAATCAAATACAAAAATGTACAAGAGAACCATTATTAACTCAGAGATGAGTGACCAATCATAAAATGGAACATCATCAATTAGAAACATATTATTTGACCCTCAGTTAAACCTAAAAAAAGTTTAAAAATTATCATTAAAGAGGACACTGTTTAAAGTAAAACAATTATATAAGGCGTTATAAACAACTTGATTAGATAAAAGCCCACAGCTACAAAGAAAAGGTTTACAATCATTAAATAATTAGGACTTTTTCAACCTTTATTTGGGAATAACATGAAGATGAGTGACCTTATATGGAAATTTGATGAACCTATACCAGGAGGTAATGCCCTTATTTGTAAGGTAAAATCATTAGATTAAAAAATAGCATAAACTTGAGATATTAGGATCTAAGTTTCAGATGTGTTGATCTTCTTCAACAAATGCCTTTTCTCTTAACTGAGAGGGGATACCTTTCCATCCATTGGGGGAAGCTTAAAGTTGGGGTTAGTCAATTGTTAACTTTGGATTTTGATGGATACTCTATGACAGTTGGCTGTAACATTAAACATTTAAATTGTGTATGAGAAATAAGATTTCACTTTCCATCTTTGAATAGTTTTTAGTATAGTAGTAAACTTGGTCATTGAAGTTTATTGTCAGTTAGTTTCTATGAATAAAGTTATAAAAGTGAATGGATTGTTCCGTCCATTTATCTGTATACATCTGAATGGAGCTCATGTGTATACAATCCTCGAGTGGAGAGGTGTATTCTGAAGGAAGTTTCCCAGACCATTATAATATCTGGGATATTTATGGCCTAACTAATGTTTAACAATGAAAAGTAAGTGATTTGGAAGAAGACATCTTTCCTTGTGGAGTAGCTATCTTAGTTCTTCTGGCCCACAAATAAGCATTTGTGAGACCCTAGTGGTTAGAACGTAAGAGGTTATCAGGAAATGTTTTTCTGATCATGCATGGCTCTAAAAAAGGAGCTGTGGCTCAGAAATCACTTTACTTTGATGCTTGAGAAATGGGAGTCAGTTAGTACAGCTGTCTGAATGACTGCTTTGTGATGCAGAACAACACCAACAGCATAGCTTCCATTCTGACACCTGTCAAAGTTACTGTGAAGGACTTTCCTTCTCAATCTCTCGCCTGAGGCTTGTGACCCTCAGACTAACAAATCATCAGTTGCCTCTCTCTAATGAGGGAGCAGTTCTATGGTTTTGCAAGACTATGGCAACCTTACCTGTTGCTTGAAAAATTACATCCTATTACCCAATCAGGGTGTTGAGAGGAGGAGGGAAAAGAACGAAAAGCACACTATACCTTCTTTGCTGTTTTGTCACTAATTGCAAAGTGAATTCCCAGGTTTGTTAATAGCCAATAAATATCTGCTGAAATGCTTTGTGCTTTTCTATATGCTAGCCCACATAAGCACATACTACAGAGAGTCAAGCTTTTGTTGAGATAGATGTCTTGAAGTTTGTTAATAACACTAAATAGTAACATTTGCTACAATATCATGGATATACAGACTTGGTATTGGAGATAGTAGGAACTGCAGATGCTGGAGAATCCAAGACAACAAGGTGCAGAGCTGGATGAACACAGCAGGCCAAGCAGCATCATAGGAGCAGAAAGGCTGACGTTTCGGGCCTAGACCCTTCTGCTCCTATGATGCTGCTTGGCCTGCTGTGTTCATCCAGCTCTA